CCCGTGCCCCCTGCAGAGCGGGAGTCTGTCAGCGAGGAGAGCAGCAGCAGCAGCAGCTCCGGCAGCTCCAGCTCTGGCAGTGAGGAGGAGGAGGAGGAAGAGGAGGAGGAAGGCAGCGGGGAGCAGTCAGAGGACAAGGAGGAGGAGCAGAAGAGGTCGAAGAGGAAGGAGAAGGAAGGCTCCCGGAAGGCGGGCAGGTACCCCTGGGAAGGCAGGGTGCCCCTGGCCAAACCCCACCTCAGCCCCTCCTGAGCCGTGCTCTCCCTGCAGCCCCAGTGAGGAAGAGGAGGAGGAAGAGGGGGCAAAGAAGGAAAAGAAGGCGGTGGCACCTCAGGGGAGGAAGGGCCATGCCGAGACCTCATCAGAGGAGGCCAGCGCCTCCGAGAGCAGCTCCTCGGGCTCCGACTCGGGCTCCGAGGCTGTGCCTCCAGGGTTGTCCCCATGCAGGTGTGCCACCAGGGCTGTCGCCGTTGGGGCTGTACCCATGGGATTGTCCCCATGAGGCTGTGCCTCCAGGGTTGTCCCCATGCAGGTGTGCCACCAGGGCTGTCGCCGTTGGGGCTGTACCCATGGGATTGTCCCCATGAGGCTGTGCCTCCAGGGTTGTCCCCATGCAGGTGTGCCACCAGGGCTGTCCCCATGGGGCTGTCTCCACGTGGCTGTCCCACAGGGCCATGCCATCAAGGCTGTCCCCATGGGGCTGTGGCTTATCAGAGCTCTGTTAACCCTTTCCTCCTCACACCCTGCAGTCACCCCCCCTCCTCCCCAGCCCGTCCCCTCCAGCAGCATCATCTCCAGCAGCCTTGTGACCGACCTGGAGGGCCTCACGCTCACCGACACCTCCCTGGCACCCGCCGTAAGTGTCCCCCCAGCGTCCTTCCCGGTGGGGCTCCTGGGACACCTGCCACCCGCAGGGACCCCACAGAGCAGGCTGGCAGCAGCCCACACTGGTCCCTCGGTCCCTCGCAGCTGCTGAGCCCAGCATTCGGCGCGGGGGTCATAGACAGTCCCGAGGAATTATTTGATGTCGTGGGAGAGAGAAATGGGAATGAACGGGAATTCAAAGTCTGGATTACCATAAGGCCAGAAAAACACATACCTATAGCCTGTAAGTGTACGAAGACATCATACTTGGCTCATTTCCTTTTCTCTTGCCTGTAGCAGCCACAGCTTCAGCCCTGCTTTATTTGCGCGACATCAATGTCTCGTTAAAACGTGAGTGTTGGGCCCGACCCTCACCTAGTAGGTAGCTCTCCCGATGCTGGCGTGTCTGTGTGAATGCCAGCCAGGGCTCAGGCCGGCAGCTCTGTCCCGGTGCAGGGAAACACCATCACATTATCTCTTTTGTTTATTGGCTTTTTTTTCACCTTAAAGGCATTTCAGTCATGTCCTGGTTTTAGCCATAAAATATGCTCAAATTCAAACTTGTTCTGGAGCGGGTCTCCTCCAAAAAGTTTGTATTTTAAGTTTCTGTTCAGTTTTCCCATAAAATCCATACATCTGTTTGTAGGGGAGTACTGTGAGGGACAGGCTGTGCTTAAACCCACCAGCTTCAGTTGGGGTTTATATCAGCACTGAACGCCTGCCAGGGGGTGAGGCAATGGCAGGCTGAAGGCTGAGGGGAGAACTGAAGACCTGGGGGAAATTGGGTGACACTGAAAGAGCAAGAGAGAATACAGGGCTCTGTGAAATGGGCTTCCCACCCTAATAACAGGAAGGTGCAGAAGGAAACAGTGCTGTTACCCTACCCCTCACAGGGAACCCAAGACACAGAGAAGATATTTTGCTCTCCGAGCCGTTTCCAGTCCTTGCATTTCGGAGCTCCTCTGTGGTTTTGGGGCTGACCCCTGGGTCTCTCCCTGCTGACGAGGATGGGGCTGGCTTGGAAGCCCTGGTCGATGTCTGCACTTACCTCTGCTGCCTCCGTGTATCTTGTGCTTCCTCCCTGAAAGGTTTAGGTCAAAATGAGCCAACTTGCTGCGGTTCCCTGGTTTGAACTCTTTAGATTGCTGCTATTAAAACTCATTGAGGAGAAAATACCCAAGAAAATGAGTGAGCTGACCTGAGAGCACAGGTCCTTAGAGATTTGGAAAAAAAAGCCCTGAAGAGTTTTGAGAAACCACATTATTCTAACAGTTCAGATTTTAGAAAAACACTAATGTCAGATTGGCTATCATGCACAAAGCATTGACAGGAAGACTAATCCATTGGTCTGGAGGAAAGCTCACTGAAAACCTGTCAGCAACCCACATATATTTTTCCTGCCAAAACAGCTATCCCCTCATTTTAGGCAATTGCCATTTTGGGATCTGACAGGCTACAATCAGAGATTACTTCTATCTACTGCAGAATTCCATTTGACTGGAATTTTTATGATGTCTCATATTTTTACTGGGCTTTGCCCTCTGCCATAGCGAGCACAGTCTTTAAAAGAAATCTCACTCCCATCTGTATGCTCAGTGCTTTGCAGAGCTTTTGTGTTTACCAAAACTATCCTAATGCTCCTTCTGTACCTCCCTGCGAGTTTCGTGCAGCAGCCTCCTGCAGTTGTTTTAGTTATCTGTATACTTTTATCCTTGAATCAGATGACTTCTCCCTTCCTAGACAGATTACACAAACTGTTCCTTACCCAGACACCATGAGTCTTTCCGCCCCCAGAAATTGCCACACAGCTTCTTGCTGAGCCTCTCTTTCCATAAATAATACATATCCAGATTTCTTAAATTTTTGGTCATCTTCCTTGATTCAGAGGTCAATGACCTCTGTTATGACACAAATGTAATTTCAAACAAGTACATCTGCAGCTGGAATCCCATTTAATAACTTTTTCTTATTATATAAATAGAAATACATACTATATCATATCAAGGGTGGGGCAGCGAAATTGCCACGATGGTTTTGTGGCCCGTTAGCATCTCTGACCTGATTTAACACAGGTCGGCTCACATAGCCTCTAACTCAGCGTTTTCCACAGATGGGATGCAGGCGAGCTGTGTACGCGGAGCTCGTGGGTTTGTGTCACGTGTGAGGAGGCAGGAGAGGATGGGAGGGAATTCACGCCACCTAAATGAGGTGCTGTAGCTATAACCCTAATTACTGAGTCTCTTTTTCTAACCTCTGTTCAACCTAATTCCCTCCCCTCTGTCAGAGGGACATGTTTGTTTTTCCCATGTCACTCCCTACAACCCTGATTCCAGGACAGCTTCACTGTAAATGTGGTGACGCGAGCAAAGGCACATCTTCACAGTATGGATCATCTTCAAGGGCGTGGTAACAGAACTGAGATTCTCATGCTCAGCCCAACGAAATCCAGTGGAAACAATGAGATCAGGTGCAGAACTATTTAAGATCCATTCCACTTTTATCAGTAAAGCATCAGCTACTGCGTTAACAGTGTCCATTTCTCTCCACAGAATGTTTCCTCCAGAAGATGATCTCCTTTATGACCATAATGACATTGCTTCCACAATGTCCCTCTCCCTGTGAAAAGGCAGACTGTCTTATGCTGCTTTATATGGTCAATAATACACACATGCTTAAGAAGGAATATATGCCTTTCACAACTTCTCTACCCTTACCGGCTCTGAGGACCAAAGCCTCCTCCCTGTGCTATGAAGTCTGGTACATCTGCAGTACAGTACTGCTGTGTTTATAACCAGAGGTGGCTGCTGACCCAGATCTCTAGCTTCTGGATTTCTGCTGTTGTCAATGTCCCAACCTGCTTTGTTCCCACACACAAGAGTGTCCGCTTTCCCCCATCCTCTCTGCGTGGGTAGCTCATGGACCTGCCATGCGCCAACGTTTGTCTTGCAACTTGCATAGTTCATAGACTCATAGAACAGCACAGGTTGGAAAAGACCTTGAAATATTATCTGGTCCAATCTTTCATGGGAAAGGGAGCCTAGATGAGATTACGTAGCACTCTGTCCAATCAATCACATCTTAAAAACCTCCAGTGGTGAGGACTCCACCATGTACCTGGGGTGGATGTTCTGGTGATTGATTGGTCTCACTGTAAAAAATTCTTACATTGAGATGAAACATATCCTGCTGCAACTTGTACCCTTGGCTCCTTGTGAAGAGAGAGTCTCCACCCTCTTTGTAGCTGGCCTGTAAGTATGGGAACACTGTGACGATGCCCCCCAAGCCTTGTCTTCTCCGGGGAGAAGGGACCCAACTCCTTCAGTCTTTCTGAAGACTAGCTCTGCAATACTCCTGTGTTCACAGCGTCTCCTGCTAGACATATCATGTTTACACAGGATCTCCTTGCACAGCCCATGTTTACTGCCTGTGACCCTGTCACTCTGCCGTGTTTATATTCTGTGGCCCCGTATTTACATCCTGTGACATCTGAGGCCCTGCTGCCTGTTGATGTTTTTGTCTTCCAGCATCTGTTGCTCAGTGCACCTTTGCTGTTGGGTTCAAAGTTTAAAATGAAATGTAGTCATAAGCGAAAGATTAAAAAAACACAAGTGAAACAAGACACCTATATCCTTGCCTACTTCTGCTGATGTCCTTGATATGAATTGATCTTTCCACCCCCCTTGATATGCAGCCAGTGGACCCTTTGTACTGTGTGGGAAGCAGAGATCAAAACAAGGACATTTGATGAGCTCATTTCCAACAATATTTTGAAGTTGCCTCTTTCTAGTGTATCTCCTAAATTGTCTCTGGGTATAATTTGCATTTCTCTCATTAGAAACATGCTCTTCCAATCAGGCTGGTGACATTGCAGAGAAAGTTACTGCCCTCAATTGGAAACTGAAACATAATTTGAGGTGCCTGAACACACATTCACACACAGGCACAGAGTTAAAACCCTCAGACACGCATTGACATTTTTAACTGAAGCAGCTCACTAAAATTCAGGACCTTGTAAAACCCTTCAGTTACAGGGAGAAAACTGAAGATGGGTTCAAACATCTTTATACCAGCTGCTATGCTGGAAGAAAGTACAAAGTCCTGCTTCCCTGAACACAGGAGCAATAAGTCACTGTTCGTGCACAATTGGCTTTATATTAATCACAGTTCCCAAACTATGTGAGATCTTCCCAGGTTTTCTCTCCTGTGCCCTTTCCCCAGAAGCACGTGGCTGTGATTTCTCAGGCTGTCCAACCGCTTCTGCTGCAGCTTCAGAGCTGGGGCTCTCTGCTGATCAGTCTCGGCCTTATCTAATCGCTCTGTTTGCATATCCAGAGTCCAAACGATCCCCGGAAAAATTTCTTCACTGGGATCTGTCAAATTCCCATGTTATCAGTGCCTTTCTCTGTGCTTACACAGGGGTTCTGAGGCTCCTGGTTTCCTAAAAGACCTTAATTGCATCTCACAGTTAAATTAAACAAAAACTGAGGCACGGGCACCCACCCCAGGGGGGTCAGGGCCCCGTGGGTCCTTTGGGGGCTGCTGAGCTGGGACGGGGACTGGTGACAGGTCCTTGTCCCCAGAGGATGGCCGTGGGACAGGTGGCTGGGCCAGCGGGGCTGTCCCCAGGGGGCTGTACCCATGGGATTGTCCCCATGAGGCTGTGCCTCCAGGGTTGTCCCCATGCAGGTGTGCCACCAGGGCTGTCGCCGTTGGGGCTGTACCCATGGGATTGTCCCCATGAGGCTGTGCCTCCAGGGTTGTCCCCATGCAGGTGTGCCACCAGGGCTGTCCCCATGGGGCTGTCTCCACGTGGCTGTCCCACAGGGCCATGCCATCAAGGCTGTCCCCATGGGGCTGTGGCTTATCAGAGCTCTGTTAACCCTTTCCTCCTCACACCCTGCAGTCACCCCCCCTCCTCCCCAGCCCGTCCCCTCCAGCAGCATCATCTCCAGCAGCCTTGTGACCGACCTGGAGGGCCTCACGCTCACCGACACCTCCCTGGCACCCGCCGTAAGTGTCCCCCCAGCGTCCTTCCCGGTGGGGCTCCTGGGACACCTGCCACCCGCAGGGACCCCAC